TTTTTTTCTTTTTTCCTTTGCTTGATGCAAATCTAGTTGAAGAAAACCCTGAGTCGGCAATCTCTCTCTCGTTGTCACACTAGCAACTTGTTGACAAAACAACCTTACCCGATCTTGACTCTCCTTGCAAGAACATGAATGCCTTTAGACAGAATAACCTTACCAAAACCTGAATGAGTTTAGAGGTCACTTTATGATTTAAAATGCTTGGGGAAGTAGCTATTTAGAGAGCCCAAAAAACCCTGTAAACATATTTTGGGTCAGCATTTGTTTCTTTTTTTCTCTCATCAATCTATCAAAAGAAAAGAGGTCAGTCGTGCTATGGAAATTCTCGACAAGCAGACAAAGTGGACAGAGTGCGTTTCATCAGCAATGAGACACAGCTTCTGCAAGTGCCTCAAGAGTGCTTTTCTTTTTCTCTTTCTAGTTTTCTACCCCTTTAACTCTCTGTCAGGCCTTGATCCAATGGAAATGTGTCTCTCTTTTTGGCCTCTCAAAATGAAAACCCTTTTCCTCTTTCAAACAACCGCGTGCTGAATTGTGATAACGTCATCCACCTTGTCCATTTGTCCATTCAGCTTTCTGTCAAAGAATAACTCAAAAAATCCATACTCAAATGTGTTTATATAGTAACAGTTTCTTCGATTAATTTATATTAGATTTTGAAAAGTAATTTTTGTTTGTTTCAACCCTTTTAGTAAAACTTTCTCATCTCGAGTTTGTATTCTAGAACCCCCTCTTTTTTTTTAATGTAATTGTTAATAATTTAGTAATGGAAACCCCGTTCTTGATGCATCATTTCCACCATTCACCAACACAAGACACCATCATTAGCTCAAACCTCTAGTTGTCCGTTTCTTGAGAGAGCTGCACCACAAACAGAGAGAGAGGGCTAAGTTCCATCTTCTCTTGGTTTTCATCAACAAAACCAAACTCTCATGATTCCCTTATAAAAAATCATTGTCTATGCAAATAATGGGTTTTCTTCTCTAAACAGAGAGGTAAAACTGGCCGGGGGACGGGGGTGAGTGTTGCTCACCACCAAATGAGCTGATGATTATGATAACACTCGTCACCTTTTTAATTGGAGAGTTTCATTATTTTCTTTCTACTTTTTCTTTTTAATTTTTTTCTCTGGTTTTTGGGTTTCTCTCTTTCTCTTTTTTAACTTCATTTATTGGTTATGATTTAGAGATGATGAAGTAAAAGAGTGTTATAGTGGCTAATTGTTGGTGGTGAATTTGATGCAGCACCAACAGATATGATGGAGTCAATGGAGTCATGTGTCCCACCTGGGTTCCGGTTCCACCCCACAGACGAAGAGCTTGTTGGGTATTACCTGAGGAAGAAGGTTGCATCACAGAAGATTGATCTTGATGTTATCAGAGACATTGATCTCTACAGGATAGAACCATGGGATCTTCAAGGTATCACACTTTCTTGGGTTTTCTTTTTCTTTTGGTTTTAAACATTCTTTAGGGTTTCTATTCTGCTCAATTCTGCAGAGAGGTTAACATGAAGCCATCAGGGTTTAGATCCACAGTTAGGGTTTCATTTTTCCTGTAAGACAAAAAGGTTTGCTGATGGCTTTGACAATGGACGAATGCACATTTGCATGAGAACTTCACAGCCCTAAACATCAATGTTTTTTTGTTATTTTTGCTTCAAGGTTTGTATGGTTTACCCAATGAACATTTCTAGATCATGCTAGGACGCCATTGAAGTTACTAAGCTGTAACAGTGGCTGACGACAGTAAAATCAGTGACTAACCTGAATATCTTTCTCATTCTTTTAATCATACAAATTTATAAGATCTGAACGGTGATGATGCAGAGAGATGCCGGATCGGATATGAGGAGCAAAACGAGTGGTATTTCTTCAGCCACAAAGATAAGAAGTACCCTACGGGGACGAGAACTAACAGGGCAACCATGGCTGGTTTCTGGAAAGCAACCGGTCGAGACAAGGCAGTGTACGATAAATCGAAGCTGATTGGCATGAGGAAGACTCTTGTTTTCTACAAAGGAAGAGCTCCAAATGGACAGAAAACTGACTGGATCATGCATGAATACAGGCTTGAATCCGACGAGAATGGTCCTCCACAGGCAAGCATATGTTCTTGTCATCCTTAATTAATCAATTTTGCCACCCCACTTTCTCCCCTCTCTTTGTCAACAGGGTGGTTAAAGTGATAAAAGAAAAAAAGTATATTGTCTTCATGGTCTTCCAACATTCTGAGTAGCTTTGAACAGGCTCTCTTGACCTACTATTTGGAACTTTCTTTTTCTCGTATTAGTGTCCAAAGGAGGGTTTAGGCATCCATTACCATCAGTCATGGCATAAAAAAGTTCTTAGATTCTCTCTCTGAGGACAAGATGATTAGTGCCTAGAAAATTCTTCACAAAAGACCCAACTTTTTGTTAAGAAATGGATGGTTTTTAGAGATTTAGTTGAATTTGTTGTGCCACTATGCAACTTATGAGGAAGGGGGAATCACTTTTTGCTTTCCATACACAGACCAATTTCCACTGCAATGTCAACATAACATGATTTCTAGAAAGATAACTTCCACCGTCTCTTATAAGTCAAAAAAGTAATTAGCATAATTCAAAACAAAAAAGCAAAATATTTTAACATGCTTTTCTTTCTTTCCTAGTCCTTTTCTGGCATGGGCCTTGTCATCTCCCTATATTCATATCAGTTTGTCAAAGGCAAAATTCCATTTCTCCTCTAATTGTTTTCATGTCATCACCTTTGAGTTATGATATCTACTTCTTCTCTTTTACCAAACAAGAAAGAATTATCCCCTTTACAATAGTGAAAAGAACATATATTCAAATTGAAAAAGCAAATGGAAGAAAACTTTGTCTCTTATCTCATAAAGTTGATTAGTTTTTTTAAAGTTTTTGCAGGAGGAGGGATGGGTCGTTTGCCGGGCGTTCAAGAAGAGAACCAGTGGCAATGGCCAAAGCAAGAGCATCGAAGGGTGGGACTCGAGCTACTTCTACGATGAACCAAGTGGTGTCAGCTCCGTGGTTGATCCAATCGATTACATCTCGAGGCAACCCCAGAGCTTTTTACCCCAAAGTTTCTTGTGTAAGCAAGAAACAGAGGCAGATAATCTAAACTTCATCCACTCTGATCAGTTCGTACAGCTTCCTCAGCTAGAGAGCCCATCTCTGCCATTAATAAAGCGGCCAAGCTCGATATCTCTAATATCAGAGAATACCAGCTATGAAGAAGAAGAGCAGAACCGAATGTGCAACACCACCAACAAAGTGACTGACTGGAGAGCCCTTGACAAGTTCGTTGCTTCCCAGCTGAGCCAAGAAGACAGATATGATGGTGAAGGGGTTCCAAGCTTTGAAGCCAATAATAACTCAGACATGGCATTGCTGTTATTACAGAGCAGTGGTAGAGAAGAAGGGAACAAGTTGAACGAGTTCTTGAATTCAAGTTCAGATTGTGATATTGGAATATGCATATTTGATAAATAAAGAATTAACAAATATGGAGATGAAGAAGCTTTTATTGCTTAGTATTATAAAACGTTTGATGCAAAATGAGACATATTTTTGTAAAAATATGTTTGTGATATTAATGAAGAATCCCTCTCTCTCTCTCTCTCTCAGAATGCATGCAAAGCATTCAAATTAGCTATTTTGAATCATATGAGGACAAATCAAACTGCTGCCGTTCTGTGAAAGAATATTGTTTTCTTGGTTAGCGAGACTGAAGCAAGCTACACGTATAATATTGTCATGGCGACTTCTCCTGAAATAAAGAAAAGAATTAAGCTTAATTTATTAGGCTTTCTCAGAGCCAAACCATGACTTTCATCTCCTTTAGGACAGTGGGTCGGTGTGACTACAGGCAAGAGTCTGAAGAAACCTAGAAGAAAACTATATGACGTGCATGCTACCATGATTCTTCCAGGCTTTACACCATTTTTTTTTTTCTTTCTCCCTGTGCAACTGTCATGGCTTCTCGCTTGTCTCGAGCAGGTATTCAAACCTTCTTCTTCTTGGAAGAAGAAACCTCAGCTGATGTGAAAGTTAACATGGCATTGAAAGTTTGAAACCCTTGGAATGTTGCAAGAAAATTCACTCGAGTGCAGACACGCAGCTTGTCTGTTCACCATGGATTGTCTGCCTGCATGTTTTCAAAAAGGCTACTAGAAGTTCCACGATCACCGAACAATATAGGCCTATGATGTCTCGCCTGCCACAAAGTTCATGCCAACTTTGTCATACAGAAATGATTCTCTAACCTTTGTTTATGTTCAGATTGGTTTCACAAACCTAGAAATCATAGGAATAGTCCCATGATGTAGTTTGTGATGGAAATGGGAACCCTGACTCTTTTCTCTCAACAAGCTATGTGTTCATGCTGAACTTGAGTTTCTTGGCAACCAAACATGATGGAGATAAGAGCAAAACGGGGAATCTCCATAAGAAAGTAGAGTGTCTAAATAAGACCAAACCTTAGGAGCACAGAGGAAGATAAAAATTGATTGATTTCAATTGATCAATACACCTAAGTCAGTATGGGTGCATCTGGGTGTGGGCTTGGTGGGCCCACGGCTTGTCTAGCATGCGCTGGGCACCGTGGCTCCTGTTGGGCATGCCTTGCCATTGTCTTTATAGACCTTTCTTTTTTATTACCTTGATTATTTTTTTTAATAATACGATCATAAGATTTCTCATATCTTATCTAAACTCGATTTTTTCTTCGAAAAACTATATTTTCTCGCATCCGTCTAAGGTTTTTAAGATTTTACTCTTCGAAAACTTTCACGAAAATAAACTCTATATTATACCAATTAATATAATTTCTCACATTGGTCTAATGTATTCAATAAACCCTAATTATCAATCAATATATTTTCTCATATCTAATTAGTGTATTCAAGATTTCACTCTCGAAGTACTGCTGTGAAAATCGAACCCTAATTACAAGCTTTTGACAGTGCTTTATGGTTTGGTCCTCCCATGTCCTCTTAATGCCAAACACCAACAAAACCAAGTCACAAAAAGAGCTACTTAATTAATAGGTAGATAATTATACTTTTTTTTGCCATCATAATTAAGAGATAATTAATTACCTTTTTTTTTTCTAATTTGTTTGCTTTTTCAAATGTGAGTTTGAGCCAATATGATTCTTTGATTGGACAAAGAGATATGTTTCTTTCTTTCTTTTTTCGATCTACCCTTTTTCCAGGTGGACCAAACCCCTCCAGGTTTTGCATTTAGGGTCCTGAACCTGATCTTCAAGTTGTCTATCTTTGTCACAGCTCAGCATGTTATGTTTTCTGTACCTTCTTTGCAAGTTTGGGTTTCAATTATATGCACAAAAAGCTTCACCATAAACACAAACCCAGAAAAGACAACACAAACCTTTCATCAGAAACATTGAAACCTTCAGGCTCAGACACTACCCAGCTGTGAGATGAATATCACATTTTTCATAGTATCTGGTCAAATAGCAACATTCTGCGTAAGTAATTAACTTTGTTATCTATACGAACAATTAAGCACGTTAATCCATTTATCAGAATGATAATAAACAAATTTTTTGTTTATTAAGACGTTGAACATATGTTAAACATATAAATATAATGAAAATCTCTCTAACATGGTATTAGAGCTAATACCGTTTGAATGATTTCCATACCATTTCAAATATCAATCATGTTAAAACCATGCAAGCTAATATAGGGCCTGACTTTGGGGTTATCGAAACTTTTGCTGCCAAAGATGGAAGAAACCCTGCATATAGCACCTAACAGGGAGATCAAAGGCCTTTGGAAGTGATGTGATTGCAACAAAGACAAACTAGATGGGAGAAATTCCCATGCTGATTGTCTATCATTTGAGGAGAAATTGGACCCCTTTTGCCGACCCCAATTCTCAGAGGAAAGGTATCAGTCAGTTATCCAAGAAGGCCTCGACCAATCAGGTTCATCCAAATGAGTGCAATAAACCAATGATGAACAATCACCACTTGATTGAGCATTAATTTTCTGTTCTTTTTTTTTTTTTAAGGGGAAAAATACTGTTACACATGGTTTCGCGAGCTTGGTCGGAGTGCATATCCAAGCTTATGGGCCAACCAAGAGTTTCCACGTTAAGTGCTGTTCAGAGTGAGAGGGAAGGGCATGGACATGGATGGCAATTAGTGTAATGGTTGACCAAAACAAAGCAATCTTTTGGTGAACAATGATGCTCATAATAGCACGCAACAAAGCAAGACCCAACCCATGTCTTTTGATGCGCTTTTTCATGCAGAAAAGATAAGATAGAAAACCTAGCAAAAAAGAGAGTAAACAACACCCACACCCATTCCTACCTTGTTCTTCTTCTTCTTCCACTTCCCTTAACCCACCTCTCTCTCTCTCATGATTAAGAAGTGATCGAGAACATATTTCAGTAAGAATATATAATCATTTGAAAAAGTAATTGAACCTAGAGATGCCATGTTGACAAAAGCTCAATTGAGCTTTAACCAATCACAGACGCCGAATGTCAATGTGGGCAAAAAAGAGGGGGGAATAATCTTTTGCTTTTTTGTGAAATGAAATGACAGAGCCAGCTTCGGGGTACAATGATGTAGCAGTGATGCATTTGGGAAGACTTTGTTTGAAAAGGGCATATGGCAGATTCTCTCACCCATTGTTCACAGTTTGAGACTGTGGCTCCTCCACAACTCTATCATCATCACGTGAACAGAGAAGGTTTGACTTGGATCATTCTGGTTACTCAATCAAGTTCATACACAGCCATTTGGGAACAGTTCAATTTCCTTTGAAGCTTTCTCTAATCTATATCAAATTATAAAGGAAATCTTGTAACATGTTGTAATGGTGAAAACCTTCCTTGACATGATATCGTGATAGGCGAAGAAAGCCTCTCTACCCTGAAGGAAAGAGCTCTCTCCATGGACTAAGAATATCTTCCTCCATGACTAGCAAAAGGCATGATGTGCTGAACACGGCTTCTAAGTGCCATGGAATAATTGTTGGGTTCCCAAGCATCAAACTGAATGAGCTGCATCTGGATAAATGAACGTAGGCCCACTCGGGGCTTTGTCTGAGGGGAAAAAGAGGGGAAGTGGTCAACAAGAAAAAGAACTCAAAGCAAAAAGAAGAAAGCATGGTCAGCATTCAGGGCAACATACTATTTTTAAAGACTACCTAACATAACAAAGCACCTTCATGAAAAAGGCCAGGACCACAAAAGCAACTTCGCAGCCCAGAAGAGAAAGGGCCACTCTTATTATTAATAACATGGTACCTCATGTTCGGCACTTCAAATTCTAGATATGATCAACATAGCTATCTCACTTGATGCCTAGAATACCAAGAGGTTAAAAGGAAAGTAAAACAATCCAATGATTCATTGAAACAACCGTTCCATTCATGATCGAAATTCAAACAGCGAGGCCTAATGCCCACAAACAATGACTGGATTAAAGACATCTATAAACAACCCACCAAACTTTCCAAACAGTTAATCCCTTGAACAACAGGGATACAAAGACAATGTAAGACTAGGTCGAAAAACTGTTCATAAAACAGGACACACAACTCAAGAATATATAT